TTTCATTGAAAACAGGACACAACATCTAATCGAACCACAAAAGAAAGACGCCATTGTGGAAAAGCTTGTCGATAAATCTGAAGGGCTCATGCTGTACGCCTATTTTCTTGTTTTATATATTGAAGAGAATAAATCAGTTCTGGACCAGGAAGATATTGATGGTAACTTGCCATTAGCAATTTCTTCAGCCTACCATTCTTATTTCAGACGACTAGAGAACGAACTTAAGAAGGAACTAGGCGTCAACGAAGACAATTTTCTGAACCTCCTTTCTGCTGTTATAGCCTCCAGAGAGCCCATGCCAATTGACTTTGTTTTTAAACTATTGGGATCCAACGTCAGCTCACCACTTGCAAGGCGGAAAGTACTTAAAGCTGTCAGCAGTGTGTCGTCACTTCTTCCAATTCGTGATGGCTGTCTTCACGTCATTCACAAGTCGGTTAAAGACTGGTTGACAGACGCATCTTGTTATGGGGAGCATGACTTCACCATGGACGAGAAGGAAGGCCACCGTATACTTGCAAGCCTCTGTGCCGATGAACTTGATCATATGAAGCAGAAAGGTGTACATGACGTACAGTTTAGCTCCACAGAGAAGTATGCGCTACATCATGGTGTACGACACATGTTGCAGTTAGATGACAATATGAGACCGCGGAGTCTGGAGAAATGTGTCGAAACATACGTGACAGACTTAGATGTTTTGTACGCAAAGGTGTGTGCTAACAGTTCAATGGCAGCTGAAGAAATTTTATGGCTTCAAAGTCAGGAACTTTCTCGCGCCCTCTGTGCAGACAGTAAAGATTCTCTGAACCTCTTAACGGTACTTTTAAGGAAGTACTTCAATACTTTTACAGATTATCCTTACGTATTTTTCCAAACCTTGCTGAGTGAGGGAGGATCAGTCCTATCTCCTATGGCATCAAACATGTTACAGAAGAAATACCCTGAAATACCTTACATGGAATTTGTGAACAAGGATACACAACAGGGAGCTGTTCTAGCCCGTTTTCAATGTTCATCTCAAGTGGCTTGTTTTGATGTCTCACCACGGTTAGATTACATGGTGTGTGAATGTGATGACGGAACGATTCACTTGTGGTCTCTCAATACTGGCAAGTTGGTATGGGAACGCCCCGCTATGATAAGGAAATCGTACTCCACAGGAGCATTTAGGAGGTCGCCATCTTCACCTGTCTTTTCAATTTACCGCTCAGTTGTGTTTCATCCTACTGCAGATTTTGTCTTACCAGGAGTCCTTAGCCATGCGTATGATTTCAACGGAGATCTGAAACCCCTCTTTCTCGAAAGCAACTGCAATTTCACCGTATGCTCAATTTTAGGACACAAGGCAATGATGTTGACTGATTGCCCTGATGATGCAAGATGCATACTAATCTGGAGCCTAAAGGATGGTTCAGAGATTCGCCGAATCACCACAGTTGAAGATGTTTTGTCTTTTGCGTGGTCTCGCGATGGAAGACTACTAGCAATCTCCCATTGTACGGGTTCCATTTCTCTTATTGATGTGATTGATGGTTTTAGAATACTAGGACAAACGGCTACCCCAAAGGTTTGTGGCATGATAAAGTTTTCACCTGACTGTGGAACTCTTTTTTGTTGCCATTTATCACTGAGTGATCTGAAAGAGTCTCTTTTTCGTTTGAAATTCAACATCATGGATCCCACCTTTCGGCTGGATAGTGTAGAATCCTATATACCATGGGATTTGGAATCAAGCAGTGAAGGTGGATTTATGTTAGGAGATCCCCTGTCATCTTCATTTGACAACTCGTCTCTGGCCGTTTTTGATTGGAAATTTGATTTTGTTCTTAATCAGCAAACTGTTTTGAGGAGCTGTCCCCGTGGTGTTTGTGTTGATATGTTGAATATTAACGAAACACGTGGAACTGAGAAGGAATTCGAAGGTCCACTTAGCAGCATCAAACAAAGTGAATTTTCTTTGAGGGGCGAGACCATTTATATTGTCAGTGATGATGAAATCAGAATGCAAACAGTCAGCGCTTGGGACGTTACAAATGGGAAGTTCATTGCAAAGAAAAACATGCAACTGGCTAAGTCCACCCGTTTTCTGGAACGCTGTCTCAGTTATCTCGCTGTTGTACAAGAGGGTATTGTGTTATCACCAAGAGATGGTACTCTTGAATTGTGGAATTTTAAATTGTCTCAGTGCTTCCGACGTTGGACCCAGCTCTCCAGAATCACACAGATTATTACGATATCTGCGGAACGAGTGGCATGTGTATATGAAGATGGATGGACAGAAGCGGTGATCGTCCTGGATACCTCTACGGGTGAAATCATGTCGAAAATCGAAACTGATTGCAATGTTTATGTGGCCTGTAATAGCAAATGTCAGGTGTTAACCTTTAGAAGAGGATCATTAGAGTTGTATGATGGCCCAAGTAAAGTCTGGATGACGTATCTATACGACCAGCTGTCTTTACCCACGTTAAGTTATTGGATTCCACCAGGCCTCTTTTCTCCTGCAGAGCAGTTTGTTGTAACTTGGTCAAGGAATGAGATGTTGGTTCTTGATACGGTTTCAGGAAAAACGGTACACATTTTATGTAGAAATGATCGGGTCTCTGATTGCAAATTTGTCAGTGACAAGGAGTGTGTTGTCAGCTCCAGAAGTCGCCTAGGGGGTTATTCTCTTCGACTGTTCAACGTCAAGTCTGGTGACCTGCTGAGTATTATCAACTTGGAAAGAGAAGTACAATATTTAGCAGCCTGCCCTCGAACGCGTCTCGTCGCCATTAATCAGCGTTACTTTAAACACGGATTCGGATTTAAACTTATCCAGGTTCAGTTAGTACAAGATAAAGGCAACAGGAAGAGCAAACGGTGAGCCATGAACTGGGTAGAAACTTGATTATAAGAGTTGATTTCGCGGGAAGGGCCTAAAATTAGATTTCGCCGGTACTTTAATGTTAGTTTAGGCTAGGCCTAGGTGAAACAAAAAAAATTGGATGTTTTTTTTGTTTGGCTAAATATTCTTTTATTTGGAAGAAAAATAATTATTATTGTCATTATTGCAATTGGACCTCACCACTTTGGTCTCTGGTCACAAAGTTTGGTGCAAGATAACTGATTGGTAAGTGATTTTTGATGACCTAATATAAAGGCTATTCCATAAGCAATGGGCAGCTTCATACAACAATCTTCTTAAAAGACTGCTTTTGTATGTTTCCAGGATGGCCAACGCCCTTGAGATCCAAGATAGCAGAGAGAACGAGAGGTTAGCCTTATTATAACATCGTTTTTTCATTTAGATTGTGAAGAATGGTGCCTGTAGTGAGGTTTATAATGTACACCAGCTATCGAAATAATTTAGTGCACACTTTGCCACTTTGTCTGCTTTAAATTTTTGTTTGCGTAATTCGAGTTATAAATAAGCCGCGTTCTCTCATGGTGGTTTTCATTTAATAGAATACTTCTCTCACCCCGGCCTCTCCCCGACCCAACCATCCCTCTTTTTGTCTACGGACAACCAAACCTATTTCCATCATCCAAACCATGTAAAATCTGTAAATTGGCCACCTCTTCGATATCCCCATCACCAATTTTTGATTAGAATAGACCTTCATATAATTTGTCTTTCTTACACGTACAAAAATAAGCCTATCAAGAATAGCGTTTGACCAAAAGTCCGCCGAGGGGTTCAATTGTCGGGAATTTGGAGGGCTTAGTCTCGTACCTCCACTCTTTGTTCCTTACTGATGCAGGTTGAACAAAAAGAATGATTCTGGAGAGGTCCATCGAAAGATCGACTTTGATTGGTTTTAAACCAAAAAAGACGAAAAGAAGTAAATTACCAAGGGGTTCGACTAAGCCAGGAATGCGTAAATCAACCCGGAATAATCCGATTTAGTATATACCACACAAGTGAATAGTACTTTTCGCGCACGCTGATTGGCTAGCTCGGAGGTGATTAGCCAAGTACTATTCACCTCCGAGCAGCCGAAGAAAAACAAAATGGCTTCCCGTTTCAAATAAAGCTACTCTTAAACAAATAAAGTTACTGTTCGGTCCACTAGTTATTCAGCTTGTGTGGTATATACTAGAACAATTATTCACCTCAGTGTCGGTGAAAGTGGTGGATATTTACCTCCACTTCGGTGAGTAATTGTTAAATATACATATACTTTTGAACGTCCAATTTCAGAAGTGATTGGTTGCTACATAATCACGACCTTCTTAGACATCACGCGTTAGGTATTATTTTCACAGACTGAAAGCTTTGTACGGCTCCAACATAATTTGGTGGCCGTGGTATGAAGAGCTCAAAGGTGGCTTCAGTGTACGATGCAGTGTTGATAACGTAGGATCCATAAAGAAGTATATCAAAGGATCATTGCCGTATTTGCTTGACTAGTTTAAAAAACTTATCATGGTAACTTGGGAAATAATCATCACACAAGTGATGGAATGTTGCCATCAATTTTTTTTCGTCGTGTTTTTCAGAGGGCTTGAAAATCTGGATGTTAAAGAAAAGAAACAAGAAACTGGTTTGTAAACTCAGTCAGTGTTAATGCATTGCGTAATTTAAGTTCTGGTTACAGCTATTTTCATTTCCTAAAGCATTATTTCCTTTTTTTTTTTTGCATTCTAGATACTTCTGAAGAGCGAATAGAAGAATCACCATCATGTTCTGGCACAAAACGCGCTAAACGCACGCCTGACCACCGTTCAGGTAAAATATGTGATATTAGAACAAGAATTTGAACAAAAGAGTTCTGTTCTTTTAGATTTGGAGATGTAGCAGCGAGCTCATACATATGTTTAGCAGAACCTTTTTGTCTAGTCCTTCTATACATAACTTATGGATACACAAGATACGGGATTAATTGAAAATCACATGTAAATTGACTTTACGTAGCAACTAATTTTTTTTCCTAAACATTCTAGGTACTTCTAGAGAGGGAAGTGAAGAATCACCATCATGTTCCAATTCAACATGCCCTAAACTCAAGCCTGAGCACCGTTTAGGTAATATAACTAATAGCACAACAAGAATTTAAACTAATGAACTCAGTTGTTTTAGAATTGAAGCAGTATATGTAGCAGCGACCTCAATTATACACTTATCAGTATCAACGTTTGCTGTGTTCACACAAAGCTGAGACAGGTTTTATCGCATCACGAATGAAACATAGACACTGTGCATAAATGGCGCCGATATTTGAATAACGATACTTATGCATCCTCAGCTTCACAATCATGTGAAAATTCCCTTGTCTGGATACGTAAGTGCCAGGCTAAGGATGTTTAAGGTGCCATTTATGCAAAGGGTCCATGTCTCACTGCGACAGGTGTTTGCATCAGGCGGCATATTGCGTGAATCATGATGAGAATGATTGAAGCTACCAGTCGACAGCGAAGGAGAAGCAAATGGTTGAATTTCTTGTTGCCAAAAGATATTGAACCTCAGACGAAATGTAACAGGGAGTTTACTCTAAGCGCAACTGATAACATTATTGATCCGCTTGCTTCAAAGCCGCATAAATTAGTGAACCACGCAGGACACCGGAAGCGAGTCTGGAGACGAACATTGTTTGTGAACAGACAACTCAGTCACAAACAAACATGTTTAGGGGAAACTTGTTAGCGGTGGTAAACTAACTGTAAACACGGTTCGGTGAAAGTGTGAAGGCAGCTTATTTTCCAAGTCCGAGAACAAATCATTTGAACTCAAATAAGCCATATTCTTAGTCTCGGTATTGGACTGAAACTAACATGCAATGGAGGCTCAGAAAGGGGGAGGGGGAAATATCATTAAAAATATATTAATTTTATTTACATCGGAACAGACTCCCTACATTAACCTCAGTTGCAAGCTAGTTCCAGTACACTACATGGAAAATGTATATGGCCTTTTACAAAACTTTTGAACATGCTTTTTGTTTCTTTTAGCTGCGGTTCTCAAAGAAGGCACACCCTCATCTAATGATCTAGAAGAACTGTCCCGAAGGATTGTTAAGGACTGGAAGAAACTTGGGCGTCGGTTGTTAGACAATGACGAGGACGCGCTAGATTCAATTGATAAAGAGAATGAGGAATACTCTGAGAAAGCTTACAAAATGTTGTTGAGATGGAAACGGATAAAAGTCTTAGGTGCAACTTTCCAAGTCTTGTATGACGCCTTGTGCCATCATTTAGTAACTCGTCAAGATTTAGCCCAAGAATTCTGTTTGAAGGACCATGATTAACAAATCCAATTCTTGTACATTATTCCAATATTATAGGCGCGCAGGGCGTGCAGAAAGCTTTAAATGCAGGACTATCATTGATAGCTTAGTTACGCCTGTAAAGTAGAGAATATAACAAGTTTTCAAACTTGCGTTGGAAACAGTTGCATTTACAAATTTAGCTATCCTCGCTCCTTCTATTGTTTGGAAGTAAATTTACGGAACGTTTGCACAATTGGCCGGTCACTGTTTCACAGGAAACAGGCTTTGTAGGATATGCGATGAATTATGCACGAAACAATTTTTTTCTTTTTCTAATACTTGCGAAGTAACGAATACAAAACTTTTGAGAAAAGAATGGGCCGGGTCCAGAAAAATAAGAAAAACCTACATAGCGTGGTATGATGGCATGAGGGAAATCCACTCATAGTCTGCATAATATAGATGTCGTTAAAAAAGCACGTGGTCCATAAATATTTTAAAAATTTTTTCCTTGCAAATAGCGTTGATAAAATGGAGCAAGTGAATTTCTTACACCCTAACGAATGTTTTAATTCGTTGACAACCATTCCAATAATTACGTTTGCATTCAATCTCGGCAAACACTTGAGGAGGGGGGTGAAAAGGTTTTCGGATCGACGGATTTGGTCTTAAAAAGCGCACGGATTGTGGATTTTTGCACTAAAGCGAGTGGATTTGCGGATTTTGAAAACACAGTGGATCATGGATCAGCTGTGAATTTTGGCGCAGATTCCAGATTGTGCCTGTCTTAATGTTCGCATCTTGGATCCTAAACAAAATTTGGATCTTTGTTCAGCCTTGGTCGTTATGTTAATGAGTTCATCCAAATTATTTCTCTTTTCGAACGAAGCTCATTTAAACTCAGGTGTGAGACTGTTATTGGAATTGTACTCTGTTATAGTCATCAAGCATGTTGCCTTCTTTACTATTTGTGCGAAATTGACAATGACATTCACATTTACCAGTTTACCTTTGAACTTTGGTATGAGATTTGAACAAAAATATTGGCAGATCAACGGATTGGTGAAAAAAAGGCACGGATCGGCGGATTTGCATGCCCCTATTCATCCCCCTCCTTGAGATATATTGTTAATACATATATTTTACCCTCAGGTATTTTTCATGCTGATTATAAGTGAAACAAATTCTTTTGTGATTTGTATCAGTAAAAACGGACTTTTAAGAGGTCGTCTACAATCGTTTTACTGATCACAGAATTTGCCGCCATAAAAAAGAAACAAAACAAAATAAAACAACTTCTCAATAAAATGAAATAAAATAAGTAAAAAGATATGTAAAAACTAAATTAGGTAGGAAGCTAATGTCTATTTTCACTGTGACCTTAGATAAATAATTCATGGCTTTAAATAAGTTCCTCTGGGCCGTCAAAGAGAGCTTTGTACACATTCCATTCTCTGTAAAGAGCCGTTTTGTATTTTGCTGTAAGTTAGAGATCTGATATGAGCTTGTCACAAGTGCAATATTAAGTCTTTGGAAAAAAATGCGGTTTTGGAAAAGACAAGTAACACGTTGATTTAGAATTGAGGAATTTGAACAAATGGACCATGGCTCCTATCACTTTTTCACGACTTAAATATACACAAAAATAGAGACCCTAACTTAGCCTTAATAGTTTTGTAAACCGTGCTTATAGGTAATGAATTGTCATGGTGTAATCACCGTTATCACATTATTCTGTCAAGTTCTTAAAAGCGCTTCAATAAATTGTTTATTTTAACGAAATATTTGGGTTTTATTAGTTGTTAGCATATACCACTCAAGTGAATAGTGCTTTTCACGTCTTCTGACTGGTTGACTAGGAGGTGATTAGCAACTTACTATTCACCTCCACAACGGTGAATAAAAAAAAAAAACTACACAGAAAAGAACCTCTGAATTTGCGTTTTTTCATTGGTTTCCTTTCATGTGAACAAAACGATAAGATTAGTCCAGGAAAACCATGAATGCGATTCACACTACGAGTTATAATTGAAAATTCTCTCATAATTGCCCGAGCCTTTAGACGAGTGCAATTTAAATAATTTTCAAATATTACGAGTATTGTGAATCCTTAATTTTTCGAGCTTTCATACGATAACTCATCATAGTGAAATAATATATAGATTTAGCTAAGCCTAAAGCGGAGCTCCTGATTGTGATAAATTAACCTGGCTTGAGCCTGTGATCCAGTCGAAAACCAGTACCTGGTTAGTGGTCAACTTAAAGAAAACACCTGACCTCAATGAGCCACGTGATACTGGCCAGCAGATACCTTGTTTTGACGGGTGTCAACTGTCCTTAACATGGATGTCCAATATCAAAGATGTACGCTGTAAACCAAGGTTGTATGACTTTGTCGACTTCTTAGCTGGAGTAATTGGCCGTCTTGTTGAAAAGCGCTGCCGACGTCGTCGTAGGGCGCACGCGCCCGCGATTCATGTCGCTAGCCATGTTGACCTTGAAAAAAGAGTTGCATGGTTTTCTATTTGTACACATGCATGTCGTTCCGTTCCTATAGTTATGGTGCTTCGCACGAAAGCGCGTGTTACTTTGCACTGTAGTGCAACGGAAAATTTACCTACTCCAAGCCAATCACAGTGAAATGATTTTCCCAGTTACATAATCGAGGAATTAGAAGTTATTCCACATTTCACAGAAATTATCACGGTTCACGAGAACAAAGAAACAATAACAACAAAAAACAGGCCATTTTACGTTAACGTTTCACGAGACAAAACAGTAAGATCATTCATGAATCAAAGAAATAACCACTTGAATAAACTCTGTGAGATTCCAATACAATTTCGAGAATGTAACTGACCATTTCCGAGTTGCCTTAAGCGTCTTTTTCAAAGCAAGTCTTGGTGCCCAACTTTTCCTATGAAAATGAGATTCCATTCACATAAAAATTAAACTCATTTTCATATGAATAGTTGTGCACCAGCCGGGCCTTGCTTTGAGAGGCTTAAGGCAACACCGAAAAGGGCCGGTCGAATCATGGGGAAGAATGTTATCTTTTAACTGCTGAGTATAGTTAAGCTTAGTA